AATTATATAAGTTGCTTAAATTATATAAATATGATTATATTAATTATTTTAAGCAACAGTATATTTTATAATAAGTTCAGCAACACTTTCACAACCTTGAATGGCACCCTCTGAAACAACAGCAACTCTTTTATTCTTTCTCTCTGTGTCTTTCTCTGCAGGCAGTACTATGAGATGCTGTATAATACAGCCGACGAGCTGCTAAACCTGGTGGTTGATCAAGGGGTGCGTTACACAGAGCTGGAGTACATCAATGCTCTGAGTCTCCTCCACCGCAGCCAGACTGGCGTGGGAGACCTGACCGTGCAGAACATGCGGCTGCAGCGCCTCAAAGAGATCATATGCGAACAGGCTGCCATTAAACAGGCTACCAAGGATAAGAAGATCACTACAGTCTAGACACGCACATTTAAACTATATCTACTAACGCTCTGAAAGGGTCCACGTTACTGCCAATCGTTACTGTCACAAGCTTTGAGTCAAGTCACACTTTCAAGCAAACATTAAAGTGGCTTCATTTCATTTCCTTGCTTTCCAATATTTGTAAAATACATTTCTGACCAGGGCTTTGCACACACAAATGCACACACAGACATGTTCTAATAAATGAATCCCTTGTATCTTTTCTGGTTAAACCAGGCCACACCTTTCAGAGCGAGAGGACGGATTCTCTCATTGTGGCTTTGGGGCATTTTCGTCTCATTTTCTTACTTTATCAAACCTCTGCTCTCAATTATAAAATCTTCCTGCACGCCGTCTCTCTCTGCCCGGCCCGCAGCCTGTGCCTGGAATAACAGATGCCAGATTAGAACGCCAGGGAAAAAAAGAAACAGCTCGCCTGCTGCTTGTTGATTTGTTCTTAGTTATTTTAATTAATATTTTAAATTACATTGCACATTGTAGTGCTTTTTAAAGACAGTGGTTAATGACATTTATAAGTATATTTTTGACATTTAATATAATAAAATATAATATTTTGCTAAAAATAAAGTTTATATATATATATATATATATATATATATTTTTTTTTTTTTTTTTTATAATTACAAATGACAGGATAGAATGAGAAAGCTCTATGAAGATAAACCATAAATTTATTAATAAAAAAAGAATGTAATAAAAAGTAATCATACATGCCATCTATTGAGACCAATCGTTACTGTCACAAGCTTTGAGTCAAGTCACACTTTCAAGCAAACATTAAAGTGGCTTCATTTCATTTCCTTGCTTTCCAATATTTGCAAAATACATTTCTGACCAGGGCTTTGCACACACAAATGCACACACAGACATGTTCTAATAAATGAATCCCTTGTATCTTTTCTGGTTAAACCAGGCCACACCTTTCAGAGCGAGAGGACGGATTCTCTCATTGTGGCTTGGGGACATTTTCGTCTCATTTTCTTACTTTATCAAACCTCTGCTCTCAATTATAAAATCTTCCTGCACGCCGTCTCTCTCTGCCCGGCCCGCAGCCTGTGCCTGGAATAACAGATGCCAGATTAGAACGCCAGGGAAAAAAAGAAACAGCTCGCCTGCTGCTTGTTGATTTGTTCTTTTTGCTTAAAAGGAAATAGGAATCGCTAACCCCATTCAGTTTAAATTTCTCCCTACTTGTTGCAGGTATAATTGCGTGCGCATGATTTTGTTAATTATGACAGTCATTGATTGTGATGTCATGATGCCATTATGACATCACTATTATCCCTGGTTGTTTAATCAGGTACAGAAATGAGTTTCTAAGCCTTGATGTTGATATATTCCAATAACTGCCCTTCGACTGTGTCTGCTTTAATTTGAATCTGAACCTCTTATTCCTTGTTCAAACAGACACCAAACCCCACAGATCACTCATGCTCTGTTCTAGGCTATTTTTAGTTCATTAATTATGAAGAATAGAGCAAGAGAAAAAGCCATCGATACAGTACACAGGCGTTAAGCAGGAAGCCACCCCAGCAATCCATCAGAATGACTCAACCACTCAAATCAATAATTGCCACCAGGTTGCCACAGAGAGAAAAACAGCGACGATCTTTCATATTCTTAGCACATAAGAATTGCGTGTGACTGTTGAAGATGTGTTGGTGCAGTGGTTAGACATTTAAAAATGTCATGTCTGCCTTATAATGTATCTACTGTAATAAGAGGAGCTTACTAAACGGATACAGGCAAGGACAGAAGTGTGTGGATTTGTGTGTTTAAGCCATTATCAGGGTCCTCGATGTTATTTAAATGAAGTGACTGGCTCAAGCACTCCTGTTAGCATTATACCATGCAACTATAATTCATGTAGACATTACTGTAACACAATCTGATGTTGTTTGCGCAAAGTATGTCAGAGCAACACTATTTCATGCCTTTGTTTTTGTGTATTTTTAGTATGTATTTTGTGTTTACCTATTAATAACATTTGAGATGTTCATGTACATGCTTGTAAATTTCAATCGATTGCTTAAAAGTCCTGAGGAGCCTCTGAATTTACTGGATTCGAAGTGAATTTTGCCAATGGTAATGTCAAAATGAAAATAAATGAATATAACAGAAACACGCGTCGGAACACGTTTTTACTATCAATCTTATTTGTACTGGCTTGTCTGAAGAGATTATCTGTATATTTTTATTTAACTTTAGAACTTTGTTCACTATGTTTCACTTGATGAATGTGCTGTCAATACAGGGAGAACACATCTGTATTAACATTGTTTGAAAAGAACTTGGTCATTTTGGCTTAGCTTAGCTGCTAACTGTAAGTGAATCGTAGCGTTTCAATTCACTTCAATGTCCTTTGTTGGCATGACAGTTGTTACAATGTATTGCCAAAGCATTGTGTTTAAATAATGTTAAAGTAAAATAAAATGTTCCAGTCATGCGCGTGTGCACAACGCTTGCGCAACTTTAGTTTACGTTTGGTTACCAGGCAACCGATGCGCGTGCAACTACAGGTTATTTTAGCTTCTCACAGAAAGTCCTGTTTTACTAGCGTCTAGTTAGGGAAAAAATATGTTTTTGTAATTAATAGCGTCAAATAATCAATCTTTGGCGTTTGTGTTAAGCTGGACATGTCAGATTCCTCCCTGTCTCCGGTAATAAGCGCTGCTCTCTGGAGACCACAGCAGCAGAAGAGAGATGACACCGTCAATACAGACAACAACAATGGAGGTAACAGCCCTCAAACATGACTATTTACTCATAATATGATATAGCTTTCTTAGACACTTCACTCAGTGTAGCAAACATTTAAATAGTTGTGGTTTCCGTACTTTATTCTTTGTATGAAACGAAGAATGATGGTGAATTAACGGAGGAGGACGTGTTTAAATGCCTGTCCATCCTGGGACAGTCAGCTACCGGACTCCAGCACACTTACCTATGCCTCTCTGTGCCAGTGAGTGATCCACGAACACATTTATATTTGTTTTTGTGTTATTGTGGGATTTCCATTGACTTGTATTGTTTTTATATTGATTTCATGTTTTCTATCCATTAAACAAAACCCTCACACAAAGCTTTATGCATTTTAAATATTCATTAACCCATTTGATCAAAATGTCCTTTTGAGTTTAAATAGTCTAAAATCAGGTGTAAATGAAAGATCAGTCTGTCTTGATTTAATGTGTATATTTTGGCTTTTATAAACAGTCACGTGAACATATTTGGTACTGTACCTATAATTATAATTTTAAAGATTAATCTTAAATTTTAAAGATTAAAAAGTTCACCCAAAAATACAAATTTGCTGTAAGTTTACATCCAAGATGTAGATGAGTTTGTTTATATTTGGAGAAATTTAACATTGCATCACTTGCTAACCAGCAGATCCTCTGCAGTGAATGGGTGCCGTCAGAATGAGAGTTCAAACAGCTGATAAAAAGCTGATAATAATGGATTTGTTTATTACAAACAGGCAGCTTTTCATTTCACAAGATGTTAATTAATGGACTGGAGTTGTGTGGATTATTGTGATGTTTTTTATCAGCTGATTGGATTCTCATTCTGATGGCACCTATTCACTCCATTGGTGAGCAAGTGATATAATACTATTGTTACATTTGTTATAACATTAGAGCAACATTTTGAATAGTAGCTGAATTCAAATAATAAAATTACAGATTGCTATTTTTTTCTTATTCCCCTTTTCCCCTCAAATGCCGGATAGTAAAAAAAATATAAATTTATATTTTATTGATTTTTATTAAACAACAGAGAAGTTTTTGATAGTTTTTTGATAGGCATAAAGCATATACAGTCACTAGCTGTTTTGACTGTTTAATGGGTTAAGACATTATTTAGTATGTTTATTAAGCTAATTTCTATCGGCTGGTCCCCACAATGTGAGTGGTTTTACTGGCCTTGTGGGAACCTTTGCTCCCCACAGTGTGATCCACACACACACACACACACACACTGAGACTGTTACATTACTATATGCAACAATTGATATTTTCCATATAAAATTTCCCAGGCTTACACGACAGAGCTTGGGGGTAGAATATTAATATATTTTTCTGGAACCGCTGATATTGTTTAGTTGCATGACTTCGCTGGAGAGAGAGAGACAGAAGTGGCCTCCAAATTAGTTTACATCTTTTTTTTAACGCGTCATACTCTCCTCTAGTTTCAGGGTTTTACCGGATGACATTTTATTGGCACCTTAACTGAATTTCTGATTGTGTTTGGCCACAGGGGCGAGACTTGAAAAATGTCTCCATTTTATGCAATTACATCTATCTACAAAAGCTAGAGCTTCCCTACAATAAAATCAAAGGTAGGTTTACACCAGTTTAATGTTTTTGTTACAAGAAAACTATATGGTGAAATGAAATTTGCTGTCATGTTTCAGACCCCCTCATATTTGTCTTCCACTAATGTAGATATTTGCTCTAATATCCTCTTGTTGAAAATGTTTGCCGGATTTTTTTTTTTTTTCATCCGTGCCCTTCATGGTTGCTTGGTAGCGGGATAAATAATCTCAGCTGTGCGGATGCTTGTCATCCATCTTTCTCCTGCTCTTTCTGCCTAATGTTTTGTGACTGGTAGATCTATCCTGCGTGAGTCACATGCCACACCTCATCATACTGGATGCTTCCCACAACCAACTCACCGATTTCTTTGGATTCCAGCCGCCAAAAAATCTCAAGGTGATTCAATTCACTACAGAGGGGATAATGTGATGTCATGTGAGGTTCAAATCTTATGCAAGAGTGAATGAAAAATGAACTTCATTGGGTCTCAGAGATGTTTTACTGTTAATTAAAGCTAGATGTGTTTTACCTTTTTACATAAAAACAAAAAATATATTAATTTTACTCATTTAATGAGGGTTATTGTAATTTAAAAGATTCAAATTTTTCTTCCCATCATTTTTTCTTTTTGGGTGTTTTTACTGATGTTTGTCTTTCACATACTGTCCATTTCTCTTTTTTTTACTGCAGGAGGTAAATTTCTCACACAACCAGATGTCAGTAATGAAGGATCTTTCTGCATATTCCTCTTTGACCAAGCTGATTCTTGACTGTATCCTTTCGAAGATTACTAAGCATGACACATCGTTCGCAACTCATTTGACTTCATTACTGTATCTCCAAGTAAAACAGGCTATTCAAACTGAAAAAAATATTTACCTCAGAAGTTGGATGTCGGAGCTGGGAATGACATCACATCTGAGTTGACTGCATTCTCGTACAAAAGTCGGAAAACCGAGATGGATGCCTCCATTGTTAGCAGTACCAGTTGATAAAAACTTAAACTTAACTTAAACCCTAAATTTAGCAACTATCTTACTAACTATTGATAAAATTAGGAGTTTATTGAGGCAAGTAATAGTTAATAGTTAGTTAATAGTGAGAA